ATCCTTTTAACAGATCTAGCTTATTCGTATGAGGACTGTTAGTTCCTCACCTCTCAGGTAGACGCACTACGACTTTAAAGGAAACACCTCTTAATTAGTTGCTCCTATGACACAACTGTTAGTGGGAGCTGTGGGTCTTCTTCTTCTTCTGCGTTTGACATTGAGTCCGTCTGGGTCACAAATAGGATTGTGTGTTTAAGGTTGCCACCAGTCCCCCCATAGCTTCTCTTTCAATGTGGCTCCCTTGGGCCAGATCCAGTCTTTGTTGGGAGCGGTAAGGGCAGTACTGTAGTATTTGCCCAGGGGTCTGTCTTTCTGCTCCACAATCACAGGCAGCAGATTCTTTTATGCCTATCCTGTACAGGTGTGCTTGAAGACCACAGTGTCCAGTCGGAAGTCTAAAAATTGTTGTTTTGTTCTTTCCTGTTGAGTTTGTTTATGCTGTCACTCTCTGGTCTGTAATCTACATTCTGCCTTCTCGACTCCCGCTTGAAAGACTGCTTTAGCGCTGTTTTGGTTTCCTTGTAGCTATGTGGTGGATGAAGTTGTGGAAGATTACTCCCAGCTTTTGCCAACTCATCTGCTCTCTCATTGCTGTGGGTCTATTCTTTGTTTTCCGCAACTGAGCCCTTTAATCTACATGTTAAGCAGAATAGGTGACTGCCCAGGTAAAGTTGGTTCTTTATTAATATCCTACCCCAGATGACATCACAGGATAGTCCAACATTTTAAGAGGGTGGTAAGACTGGGTTTCCCGGCTTTCTGATGCTTTTTAACGACCCTAAAACATCTAGAACTGGTCCTAACCCCAACCCACCTTCGTCCCAAGAGAGAGTGCAGCCTAGATCCCACGACTGTATGCAGCCTATCTACCACCCCCTGAAATATTAGACTGTCCCGTGATCTGTGGATTTCCCCTGTTTGGGGTAGGATATTAATCCTCAGCATCATCATCATCAGTTCTCGTTATGCCTAGTGGCACATGAGGCTTCAGAGAGGACTTTCCATGCTTTCCTGTCCTGTGCAATCTTCAGTGCAGTTTTCCATGTCAAAGATGCCACACTCAGGTCTCTTTCCATCGTTCGTCTCCATGTTGTTTTTGGGCGCCCCTGTTTTCTCTTTCCCTCTGGTGTCCATGTGATAGTTGTTTTGGCGGGTAAATCAGGATTCATTCTCATAACGTGGCCAAGCCATTTCCATCTTCTCTTGGTTATCATACTGTCTAAAGTTTCTTGGTTTGTAACTTGAAGTAGTTTAGTGTTTGAGATTGTATCTGGCCAGAAAACTTTGATAATTCTACGTAGACATGTGTGATGAAAGGTGGACAGCTTGTGTGTATCCTTTTTGATCATTCTCCAGCATTCTGCAGGATATCAATAAAGCACTGTAAAGGTTTAAATATACAAAAATGTTTTTCACTGAATGTGATTCAGGAGCTGAGGTTGGAAATGGTTAGATCCTGGTCTGCCAGACGGAAGGCTTTGAATCTCAGTCTGCACTGTGGCAGTTCTTTTGTTATTGACTTTGGTAGAGCCAGCCTAAACTGGGTATCAGGACAGGTCAGTAGACATAGAAACAGCAGGTTTCAAGATAACCAACTTATCGACTAAACGGTCCACAAAAATTGATCTAGCACCATATACCCAGTGGGCCACTGGTGGGAAAAAGGTTCTGTTGTGTGTGATTCTGACAGACATACACTTGGATCTTCAACAGTATTAGAGAGTTCATGAGCTGAGCTGAGGAACTCCATGTGTGGTCTATGGCAGGAGGCTAGACTGCTTCTAGAGACAACAGTTTACACAGTCTCCTTGACTGGTCATAAGTCGAATTTATATTTTTCAAACGATTTTCATTCAGACAGATTTAACAATTGTGCATAAAACAGGAAAATTCAAACTATGTGCATAGAATTATTGTATTTAAAGTGAGAAATACACAACATGCACTCTACTGCAGCAGTTCTGAGAACTTTTTGACCAAACTAATGTAATTCCTTTCTTAATTTACTCTCTCTCTCCCTCTCGCTCTCTCTCTCGCTCCCTCTCTCTCTCTCTCTCACATGCGTGCATGTGGTGGTGGTGGTCTTCTTCTTCTTCTTTTTCTTCTTCTTCTTCTTCTTTGCATTGACCGGCTGTAAACTATGGAGGAAAGTTCTTGCTGTTTGTCCTCTTCTGGACTCTAGTTCTGTTCCAGAAACTGTCACATGTACATCCATTTCACAGGTCTGACGCATTTGCATGTAGACTGTTGGTTCCTTGCCTCCAGGCAGATGCACTCTGACTTTGAAGGAAGCTCCCAATTAGTCAACTCTTACAACATGCTTTTGGGCAGGCAGTGGGTCTATTCTTGTTTTCCCCACATTGAGGCTCTGGAACCCATATGGTGGTAATGTGGATGGTCTAAGTCCCATAGTTCATAAGTGAATAAAAGTGATCTATTCATCATCATCATGCAGCAGGTTCATTGCAGAACAATATTCTCATCAGGTCATGATGGAAAGTCATCTGATCCCTTATTAACTTTCCCAACTCATAAACTTTCACCCCCACGGTGATATCCTAAGTGATACATTATACATGCATAAAAGAAAAAATGCTGCTCACGAAAATAAGTCAATAATGAGAAAACAAAGACATACGGAAGCTGAAAGATCCTTGGACATGCCACAGTTGAAGTACACAGTTGCTTCCAGGGCAACAAGCTGTCCTTGTTTTGTGAACCCAACCTTCATGAACAGAGACATGTTGATTTCATTGTTATTTATGTTATAAGTTGCAGGTTTATACAAACACCGGTTAACTGTCAAAGAGTCATTACTGTCTGAGATTACAGGCATTTAGAGATTACACTGAGACAAGCAGGATAATGAGAACTTACTGAGACAAATACAATGATGAGAATGTGTTAAGACAAGTACAATGATGAGAATATGTTGAGACAAAAACAATGATGAGAATATGTTGAAACAAGTACAATGATGAGAATATGTTGAGACAAGTAAAATTATTAGAATATGTTGAGACAAGTACACTGGTGAGAACTTGTTGAGACAAGTACAATGAAGAGAATATGTTGAGACAAGTACAAATATGAGAACATGCTGAGACAATTAAAATTATAAGAAAATGTTGAGATAAGCAGGATTAGCATAACAAGTTGAGACATTTACAATGATGAGAACATGTTGAGATAAGTAAAATGATAAGAATATGTTGAGACAAGCAGGATAATGAGAACATACTAAGACAAGTACAATGATTAGAACAAGATGTTGAAAATATGTTAAGACAACAAGATAGTAAGAATATTCTGAGACAAGCAACATGTTGAGATTATGATGAGACATGCAAAAAGGTGAGAATATGTTGAGACAAGCAAAAAGGTGAGAATATGTTGAGACAAGTAAGAAGGTGAGAATATGTTGAGACAAGCAAGATGGTGAGAATATGTTGAGAGAAGTAAGAAGGTGAGAATACGTTGAGACAAGCAAGAAGGTGAGAATATGTTGAGACAGGTAAGAAGGTGAGAATATGTTGAGACAAGCAAGATGGTGATAATATGTTGAGAGAAGTAGGAAGGCGAGAATATGTTGAGACAAGCAAAATAATATGTTGAGACAAGCAAGATGATGAGAATATGTCAAGACAAGCAAGAAGGTGAAAATATGTTGAGACAAGTAAGAAAGTGAGAATATATTGAGACAAGTAAGAAGGTGTGAATATGTTGAAACAAACAAGATATTGAGAATATGTTGAGACAAGCTAGATGATGAGAATTTGTTGAGACAAGCAAGATGGTGAGAACATGTTGAGACAAGCAAGAAAGTAAGAATATTTTGAGACAAACAAGATGATATGTTGAGACAAGCAACAAGGTGAGAACATGTTGAGAAAAGCAAGAAGGTGAGAATATGTCAAGACAAGCAACCTAGTGAGAACATGTTGAGAAAAGCAAGAAGGTGAGAACATGTTGAGACAAGCAAGAAGGTGAGAACATGTTGAGACAAGCAACATGGTGAGAACATGTTGAGACAAGCAAGAAGGTGAGAACATGTTAAGACAAGCAAGATAGTGAGAACATGTTGAGACAAGCAAAAAGGTGAGAACATGATGAGACAAGCAAGCTGATGAAAACATGTTGAGACAAGCAACATAGTGAGAACATGTTGAGAAAAACAAGATGGTGAGAACATGTTGAGACAAGCAAAAAGGTGAGATCATGTTGAGATAAGCAAGAAGGTGAGAATATGTTAAGACAAGCAAAATGATATGTTGAGACAAGCAACAAAGTGAGAACATGTTGAGTAAAGCAAGAAGGTGAGAATATGTTAAGATAAGCAAGAACGTGAGAACATGTTGAAACAAGCAACATAGTGAGACCATGTTGAGAAAAGCAAGAAGGTAAGAACATGTTAAGACAAGCAAGATGGTGAAAACATGTTGAGACAAGCAAGATAGTGGGAACATGTTGAGACAAGCAAGAAGGTGAGAAAATGTTTAGACAAGCAAGATGATGAGAACATGTTGAGACAAGCTAGATGGTGAGAAAATGTTTAGACAAGCAAGATGATGAGAACATGTTGAGACAAGCAAGATGGTGAGAACATGTTGAGATAAGCAAGAAGGTGAGAACATGTTTAGATAAGCAAGAAGGTGAGAACACCTTGAGACAAGCAAGATGGTGAGAACATGTTGAGACAAGCAAGATGGTGAGAACATGTTGAGACAAGGAAGATGGTGAGAACATGTTGAGACAAGCAAGATGGTGAGAACATGTTGAGACAAGCAAGAAGGTTAGAACATGTTTAGATAAGCAAGAGGGTGAGAACACTTTGAGACAAGCAAGATGGTGAGAACACCTTGAGACAAGCAAGAAGGTGAGAACATGTTTAGACAAGCTAGATGGTGAGAACATGTTGAGACAAGCAAGATGGTAAGAACATGTTGAGACAAGCAAGATGGTGAGAACATGTTGAGATATGCAGGGAGGCGCATCACCTTATACTTGGCCAGGGCAGGATGTCGTGTTCCAGTCAGCCTCATGTCCTCACAGCGGTCCAGAACTGCACGGACAGGTCTTTGAGTTCTTCACAAAACAACAAACACAGTAAAAGACCCTTTTCATATCATTAGTGCCCTGGGTATACGGTGCTAGAGATATATCATTACAGATCAATCAATGCTAGATGCTAAATGTATTCAAACTAATGCCAGCAGCATTTACTTCCCTGGGGATTTCCTGGTGGTACCCCTTTTAGACTGGGTTGACCCAGGACTTAAGGTAATTTTGTGCAAAGATCTGCCTGATGTGGATTTGAACCTAAGACTTTCAAGTCAACAGGTTAGCATTAAGCCATTATGCTGCAGTAGCTCCAAAAATACTTCTTTACTGCCCTTATTATCTCATTTTTGGGGCAATGTAAGAGGGGGGCGTAGGTGGGGGGGGTGGGGGCGTTAATGTTAGCCTTATGGTTAAGGGTTTCATGGCTAGTGTAATCGCCTTGAGTTGTACAAGTTTGGAATATTTATTCTTGTCATTAGACACAGAAACAAAACAAATATATATAGTGCTATAGCAGATCTTTCTACAGAAAAATGAACTGTTAGTGGTCATTTGCTCTTATCCACCGCATAACAAGGTAAAGTGATTAGCTCTCTTCCCTGTTACTTTTATTGCCATAGATTTATGCTGTATCCATTTAATTTCCAAAGAATTATGCTGTACCCATTTCATTTCCATAGAATTATGCTGTATCCATTTCATTTCCATAGAATTATGCTGTATCCATTTCATTTCCATAGAATTATGCTGTATCCATTTCATTTCCATAGAATTATGCTGTATCCATTTCATTTCCATAGAATTATGCTGTACCCATTTCATTTCCATAGAATTATGCTGTATCCATTTCATTTCCATAGAATTATGCTGTATCCATTTCATTTCCATAGAATTATGCTGTATCCATTTCATTTCCATAGAATTATGTTGTATCCATTTCATTTCCATAGAATTATGCTGTATCCATTTCATTTCCAAAGAGTTATGCTGTACCCATTTCATTTCCATAGAATTATGTTTTACTCATTTCATTTCCATAGAATTATGTTGTACTCATTTAATTTCCATTGAATTATACTGTACCCATTTCATTTCCATAGAATTATGCTGTACCCATTTCATTTCCATTAAATTATGCTGTACCCATTTCATTTCCATAGAATTATGTTGTACTCATTTCATTTCCAAAGAATTATGCTGTACTCATTTCATTTCCAAAGAGTTATGCTGTACCCATTTCATTTCCATAGAATTATGTTGTACTCATTTCATTTCCATTGAATTATGCTGTACCCATTTCATTTCCATAGAATTATGCTGTACCCATTTCATTTCCATAGAATTATGCTGTACCCATTTCATTTCCATAGAATTATGCTGTACCCATTTCATTTCCATAGAATTATGCTGTACCCATTTCATTTCCATTGAATTATGCTGTATCCATTTCATTTCCATAGAATTATGCTGTATCCATTTCATTTCCAAAGAGTTATGCTGTACCCATTTCATTTCCATAGAATTATGTTGTACTCATTTCATTTCCATAGAATTATGTTGTACTCATTTCATTTCCATTGAATTATGTTGTACCCATTTCATTTCCATAGAATTATGCTGTACTCATTTAATTTCCATAGAATTATGTTGTACTCATTTCATTTCCATAGAATTATGCTGTAACCATTTCATTTCCATAGAATTATGCTGTACCCATTTCATTTCCAAAGAGTTATGCTGTACCCATTTCATTTCCATAGAATTATGCTGTACTCATTTCATTTCCAAAGAGTTATGCTGTACCCATTTCATTTCCATAGAATTATGTTGTACCCATTTCATTTCCATAGAATTATGCTGTACCCATTTCATTTCCATAGATTTATGCTGTACCCATTTCATTTCCATAGAATTATGTTGTACCCATTTCATGAGGTTAGGATGAGGTTAGGAAGATCAAAGTATATAAAATGCAGATAAGAGCAGTGGTTTTATATTGCTCTGAAACTTGGAGCACAAATACAAGAGATGAAGTCTTATGATGAATCTTTTGACCTATCAAAGATGCAAAGAGTGGGGAGTGGAGAGTGAGAAGCAACAACAAAATTTATAATCTGTTTAAATCATCATTGCAGGCTCAACTACCACATGCATAAAATAAAGACTGTACAGTCCCCACTGTGTGCCTGTCAGACAGGTCCACAAACACATGAGCACATTCTGCAGACTTGCCCACTCTGCCTACTACTTTGAAAAGACACCTGGCCTCAAGAGCAAAGTGTGCAGAGCAAGCTATGGGGAACCATGAAGGACGTGCAGCTGACCTGCGAATTCATAGAGGCAACCCACCTAATGGGCTTATCTAAGCATATGAAACCGAAGGCGAAGAAGACGAAATCACCATTGATCGTTGGCATCATGAGGGCTAATAAACTGAAATGGCCAGGGCATACTGAGAGAATGTCAGATGACAGAGAGGTCCACACTGTGTACACAAGGGAGTTGAATGGTCACAGACCATGTGGCAGACCAAGAAGATGATGGAGAGATAATATCCAGAATGTTGAATTAGGAATCAACTTCACAGCACTCGGGACACTCCCATAAGTGCTCCGTCCCCCATCTTCAGCAGCAAGCGAAGAGTTCAAATTCCAGTGGTACCAGTAACCGTCTGATTGTATATCCATCTCATCCTTCCCCCGAGCGTTGCGTGTCGGCCAGATCCCGTGGTAACTCCTCGCAGAGCCAATCTCCTCAGACCATAATGATCCATTTGCGCCTTAGCCCTGTTCACTCGTTCCCAAAGGGCCCTCACAATATCCAGCTTGTCATACATCTATTCACTACCAAGTGGTGCAGAGCCGGAGAAAATATCCAAAGGATGCTAACTACCTGGGACCTCTCGAGTGATGCTTGCCACTCTGCAGGAAGCAGAGTCAGTTACAATCATGGCATATGTGCAGATAATATCCAGACAGATCTACAAAAACTTAGTGTCACCAACTGAAAACAGAAGGCCAACCAGAGAGATAAATGGAGGCGGGTGATATCTGCAACAATGAATCTCAAAGGCTCAGAATACTGAAGAAGAAAAAGAAGAAGAAGAAGAAGAAGAAGAAGAAGAAAAAGAAGAAGAAGGAGAAGTAGAAGAAGAAGAAGCAGAAGGAGAAGAAGAAAAATAAAAAGAAGGAGAAGAAAAAGAAGGAGCAGAAGCAGAAGAAGGAGAAGAAGAAGAAGGATGACGAGAAGAAGAAGGAGGAGGAGAAAAAGAAGAAGAAAGAAGAAGAAGGAAGAAGGAAGAGGAGGAGAAGAAGAAGAAGAAGAAGAAGAAGAAGAAGAAGAAGAAGAAGAGGAAGAGAAGGATGAGGAAGAAGAAGGAGCAGCCAAAAAATAATAATAATAATAATAATAAGAAGAAGAAGAAGAAGAAGAAGAAGAAGAAGAAGAAGAAGAAGAAGAAGAAGAAGAAGAAGAAGAAGAAGAAGAAGAAGAAGAAGAAGAAGAAGAAGAAGAAGAAGAAGAAGAAGAAGAAGAAGAAGAAGAAAAAGAAGAAGAAGAAGAAGAAGAAGAAGAAGAAGAAGAAGAAGAAGAAGAAGAAGAAGAAGAAGAAAAAAAAGAAGAAGAAGAAGAAGAAGAAGAAGAAGAAGAAGAAGAAGAAGAAGAAGAAGAAGAAGAAGAAGAAGAAGAAGAAGAAGAAGAAGAAGAAGAAGAAGAAGAAGAAGAAGAAGAAGAAGAAGCTGAGCTCTCATAAGGTGATGGAAGTATTTTTGTTGTGGCAAAAACAAAAATCCAAACCTGCACAGTTCTTGGTGACTGAAATAGCCATGCAACCTGAAATACCTAGCTTAAGAATAACCAAAATAAGGAAAGTGGTAAATACAGGTAATAAATAGAGAAAGAGGCAAGATTTTTTGAATATAAGGAGAAAATAATGGGACAGTTTGATGACAACTAGAAAACATGATGGGAAACTAGAAAGGGGAAGATAAAAAATTAATACCTATATGGCCTAGCTTCTACATAGCATATGCCAGTCAAGAACTAGGGCTTGATCTGACATAGGTCATCATGCGAGATGGGAAACCATGATCCGTGTAAGGATATATGATAATAATGAACTGTACTTACTTATATGCTGCAACTGCCACTGGCAACACCACGTTGGCATGCCGAGTCTCCTTACCTCCAAAGCCTCCGCCTGTAATAAACAATCACAGTACTATACATCAACTAGATCTCCTAAACCCCAGATCATGTCAGTGCTCTGGCCTCAACCCCATCTATGTGGCCCCGCCATCCAGGTGTTATCTCTATGCCCTTTGATCTGTTTCAATCACTTTGCCAGTTGACACCAACTTCTTGAGACCATTTCTTCTTATAACATGTCCAAACACAAATGCCACACCAATGCCTCATTCTTCTTCTTCTTATTCTTTGCGTTGACCGCAGACTCTGGCAGGCAGAAAGTTCTGGCTGTTTGTCCCCTTCTGGACTTAAGTCTTGTTCCAGAACCTGAGTTTGGCATGCACATCCATTTTACAGATCTGTCTTTCTTTGCATGCAGATGGCTGGTTCCTCGCCTCTTGGGCAGATGCACTCCAACTTCGAAGGAAGCATCATTGATTAGTAGACTTTTATTGTTAAGGTTGAACATATACAAGAGAAAAGTAACAGACTAAACTGCACAGCAGAAATGGTGGGACTGAGAATAAATACAAAGAAAACTAAGATCATGACAAACAGTCCAAACCAACAACCAGTGACCATAAGTAACCAATCACTTGAAAATGTAGAACATTTCACATATCTCGGCAGTGTGGTGTCCCTACTGGGAGGGACAGAGGAAGACATACAGTCATGTCTGAACAAAGCTAGAGCTGCTTTTGGAAGGATGAAGCAAATCTGGAAATCCAACAATTACTGCAGAAGAACGAAACTTCGACTCTACAAGAGCATCATTTTGCCAGTTCTTCTTTGTGGAGCGGAATGCTGGAGAATGACCAAAGAGGATGCACACAAGCTGTCCACCTTCCACCACACATGTCTACGTAGAATTATCAAAATTTTCTGACCAGATACAATCTCAAACACTAAACTACTTCAAGCTACAAACCAAGAAACTTTAGACAGTATGATTACCAAGAGAAGATGAAAATGGCTTGGCCACGTTATGAGAATGACTTCTGATATACCTGCTAAAACAGCTCTCACATGGACACCAGAGGGAAAGAGAAAACAGGGGCGCCCAAAAACAACATGGAGACGAACGATGGAAAGTGACCTGAGTGCAGCATCTTTGACATGGAAAACTGCATTGGAGATTGCACAGGACAGGAAAGCATGGAAAGTCCTCTCTGAAGCCTCATGTTCCACTAGGCATAACAAGAACTGATGATGTTAAGGGTAGAGAGGGTCAATTCCCCCCCCCTCCCCCCCCCTCACGTGCCCCCTACAATGGAGCTCTGGAACCAGCACGGTAAATGTTTTATTCAAAGATGAAAGGTAGAAAAAGAAAAAAAAAGAATAATTTTCTAAACAGTGAAAATCAACTGAGATGGAAAAAGAGTTAAAACACAGAAATAGAACACATACCGATTCTCCGGACACTGACATTCACTTGACTGGCTGAAATTCCTAAAACTTTGGCAACTTGCATCTGTAAAGAGAAAATAAGTCGCTCTTTATAAGAGATGAATTAGCATAATGGTGTTACCTTTTCTTTGCATTAAACAAAGTAGGCCAAGACAGGGATCATGCAGCATGAACAATATATAGTCTCTACAATACTGCTCAGGCTTTGTGCTATGGAGAGGAGGAACTTCATTCTTCTCCTTCGTAACTGGTACTGCCATAAGTTTTGACTCCCATATTTCATACAGCACAATGGTACACTATGACCTTTACAGATGAAAATGACAATAACAGAGGAATTAGTAACTTCCTCTTCTTCTTCTTCTTCTTCTTCTTCTTCTTCTTCTTCTTCTTTTATGTTCACCAGCTGTAAACTCAGGCAGAAAATTATGATTGTTCATCCACTTCTGGACTTTAGTCTCGCTCCAGAACCTGCATTTTGCATGCACATCTGTTATACATATCAGGCTTATCTGCATGCAAACTGTTGGTTTCCCATCTCTTAGGCAGATGCACTCTGACTTTGAAAAAAAAAATCCTTAATTAGTCTATTCTTTTGACTCGCTCGTTAGGGGACTGGTACTCTGTCCACACCCCACCACCCCCCCCCCCACCCTCCCCCCCCCCCAAAAAAAAAATAAAAAAATTAGGGCCCTGGAACCTACACAGAGAGAGAATCAGGAACTGGTCATGACTGTCCTCCACCCTGGAGACAGGCAACACCCTCACTGTAAAAATCTTCATGAGCTTTCTACGTGTGATGTGTAAAATGAGTGTCCATCATCATCATCATCATAGTGAATAGTCTGAATGTATGGCAATGTAGTGGCCATTTTTTGTCTCTTGAATTTGTTGAAATCAGATATGTTAGTGAGAAAGCTGCAGATATCACAGCAGAGCTGTACACCCCAACATACTGTGCCAACCACCCATTTAAGGGCAAATGAATGAGAAGAAGAAGAAGAAGAAGAAGAAGAAGAAGAAGAAGAAGAAGAAGAAGAAGAAGAAGAAGAAGAAGAAGAAGAAGAAGAAGAAGAAGAATGTGTCAAACTTCTAAAGGATGTTGCCTTCATTTCATCTTTGCCCCATCCTTGTCCAGAACCTTTTTGCTGTATTCATCATTTCTTTCTTTCTTTGTTCTCCTCCTCCTCCAAAAGTTTGGCTACAATTATCACCCACAAATAACTGAACAGACATGTAACTGACACTTCCATGTTTAACTGAAAAAATAAAGTCCAGATCTTTTATAAATTTCTGCTTCAAAAAAATATACTCTTAGGGCTGCCACACCCACTCCCAAAAAGTCGGACTACACCAGCCAAGCCTGATCGAGCAGACATGATGCAGCAGCAAACACTCAAACTTAGGCGAAAATGATCGCCACAACGAATCGAATTGAATCAGATAGCAAAGAAACCGTCTTCAATAAAGCAGGCCTTCGGGCAGCTGAAAGAGGACCAAATTTGACATTTTTGTTTGGTTTCTACGATTACGATGATGAAAATATACTCTGAGGAGGAGAAGAATAAGATGAAGAAAGAGGAGGAGAAGAATAGGAAAAAGAAGAAGAAGAAGAAGAAGATGAAAGAGGATAAGGAAAAGAAGAAAGAGGAGGAAGAGGAAAATAAGAAGAAGACAAAGAAGAATGGTAAATGAAGATAATCTGGTTTTACTGCTACAGAAACAAGAGAGGCACCTGTATTGAGTCCAGACCCTGGGTCATACAGACAACATGATACTCCCCAGTGTCCTGGGGGTAGACAATACAAGCGTGAGGCTCTAGGTAGAAGTGCTCCTGTGCCTCCAGGTGAAACTCTCCCTGCAGGATGTGGTCAGCCTGTGAGAATCCTCGTGAGACATCTCCACACTGAATCACATGGGCTGGATGGTCGTGGTAGGAGTTCTGGCATATAGCATCCTGATGTTTTTTTTGGGAGGAAAAATGTATACATGAATTTTACTTCTGGATCAATGCTAAATGAGATGTTTGATAAATGCTGCAGGATCAATGCTAAGTGAGATGTTTGATAAATGCTGCAGGATCAATGTTGAATGAGATGTTTGATAAATGCTGCAGGATCAATGCTAAGTGAGATGTTTGATAAAAACTGCAGGATCAATGCTAAATGAGATGTTTGATAAATGCTGCAGGATAAATGCTAAATGAAATGTTTGGTAAACACTGCAGGATAAATGCTAAGTGAGATGTTTGATAAATGCTGCAGGATCAATGCTAAGTGAGATGTTTGATAAATGCTGCAGGATCAATGCTAAGTGAGATGTTTGATAAATGCTGCAGGATCAATGCTAAAGAGATGTTTGATAAATGCTGCAGGATCAATGCTAAATGAGATGTTTGATAAATGCTGCAGGAGTGACCAGAAGAGATAGAACTAGGAATGAAGTCATAAGAGAACAAGTTGACACAAAACCAGTGGTAAATTACAGGCTTTAAAAAAAATGGTCTGCCACACAGAGAGAATGCCTTGCTAAGCCACATCATACAAGGAATACACTAAAAAAAGGTAGGGAATTACAGCAAAAGGCAGATCTAAAACAAGAGGAAAAGATAACCTCAGAGAAACTCTGCAACAGAATGATGTGTCTATGGCTGAGGCAGCCAGAAGAGCAAGAAGCAGAATATTATTTCTCCCTAAGAACCCAAAGCAGTATATAACAGAGGAAGTGAAGAAGAAGAAGAAGAAGAAGTTGAAGAAGAAGAAGAACATCAGTATTTCATGCAATGCCTGCAGAAGTTCTTGTTTTAATCAACTGATTTTACTGTCAGCCTGAACCACTTTTTGTGCAATTTCCAGAAAACGAGACAGAGGCTAACCCCTAGAAGGTGGATACACAAAACTGAGGATGTACTGGCTGTGAAAGCACACTGGGCTGGAGAGTTGGCTAGAGACGGAGAGACTTTCAGCTGTGACATAATGAGAGCGACATTCTATAAAGGACACACTGATTCTTTGATTGATTGATTGACTGACCACTGTGAGGGCGGTAAAGAACAGACAAGTCTTGAGCCCATGGATATAAGAGCACTTGGATAGTTTGGTCCTCACAAACTTTGCATGCCTAGTTATAGGGAAGAGGTCAACCAGAGGACCCCAAATGCAAAATTAAGGATGTCCATAAACAGGATCTAAAAATCCTTGGCATAGATACAGAAACTCCCCAACGTGGGTTCTGGGGTCCTTTCTGGGCAGAAAGAATTAATAGAATCACTGCCTCCCTAAAAAGTATGTTGTATAAGGTAACAACTGATTACAGAAATTTCCTTTGAAGTAGGAGTGCATCTGCATGAGAGGCAAGGAACCAACAGTCTGCATGCAAATAAGTCAGATATATAAAGAGGATGAGCATGCAAAATTCAGATTCTGGAATAAGATCAAAGTTCAGAAATGGACAAACAACCAGAACTTTCCATCAGAGTTTACAGCTAATGAACGTTAAGAAGAAGATACAGAAACATGGGAGACGGTTGCAGCAGAATGATACTCCTAGAGAAGAGATATGTGAAATGTACTGGTGCTCTCTGAGCACAGTCTGATTCCACTAACTGAGAACTAGAGGTAGGAGTGTAAAATACAACTAAAATACAGTCACCTGCTGGGAGAACAGCCTCATTATACCGTTGTGGAAACTGCAACAGAGACTGTCCCTCCCATTTAGTCACCAAGGGAACTGTCAGGTGCCTGCCCAGTGACACAACTCTATAATCCTACAGGACTACTACTGTACAAGTCAGTAGCCTGCCCAGTGACACAACTCTATAATCCTACAGGACTACTACTGTACAAGTCAGTAGCCTGCCCAGTGACACAACTCTATAATCCTACAGGACTACTACTGTACAAGTCAGTAGCCTGCCCAGTGACACAACTCTATAATCCTACAGGACTACTACTGTACAAGTCAGTAGCCTGCCCAGTGACACAACTCTATAATCCTACAGGACTACTACTGTACAAGTCAGTAGCCTGCCCAGTGACACAACTCTATAATCCTACAGGACTACTACTGTACAAGTCAGTAGCCTGCCCAGTGACACAACTCTATAATCCTACAGGACTACTACTGTACAAGTCAGTAGCCTGCCCAGTGACACAACTCTATAATCCTACAGGACTACTACTGTACAAGTCAGTAGCCTGCCCAGTGACACAACTCTATAATCCTACAGGACTACTACTGTACAAGTCAGTAGCCTGCCCAGTGACACAACTCTATAATCCTATAGGACTACTACTGTACAAGTCAGTAGCCTGCCCAGTGACACAACTCTATAATCCTACAGGACTACTACTGTACAAGTCAGTAGCCTGCCCAGTGACACAACTCTATAATCCTATAGGACTACTACTGTACAAGTCAGTAGCCTGCCCAGTGACACAACTCTATAATCCTACAGGACTACTACTGTACAAGTCAGTAGCCTGCCCAGTGACACAACTCTATAATCCTACAGGACTACTACTGTACAAGTCAGTAGGCCGCCAGCTGAACAGACCTGGCTTAGGATATCAGGTGTTATGGAGATAAGAGTTAATGTTTGTTACAGAAAGTCAATGAGCATAAGAACTACCTGTATGGTAACCACTGGCTGGAGATCCTTGAACTGGACCCTGACCAGGCTTGCAGCTCTCTGGGCTACAGCCAGACTGTCAGCCAAGACCACACCAAGTATCTGTCCCTCATGCTGCACCTGTATCAAGACAGCCACAAGAGGACAATACACTTACGTATGTTAAATAACTGACTGAATGAAGTGTACAAATCTATATCACATCACGGAAGTCACCATGGTATACTGGCCTAAGGCTCGCCTGAAGATCAAAAAGGTTGTGGGTTCAGCTCCTGTCATAACCAGACTTTGAAGAAAAAAAATGACTTTGGCTCCCAGGTCAACCCTGCCTTAAATGAGTACCAGGAACAGTCCTGGGAAGTAAAGGTGGCTGGCGTGATGCTGACCACATCACCTACTAAGTGTCACTGGTCAAAAAATTTTTTTGATCTAGCCATATATGCCCAGTATGCTTCCAGACATCAACAAGAAAACAATATACTATTGTATGTTGAAAAAGTGACAAAATAAATTTAACGAATCTATACTATAACATACCAAGTTATATGCTCTGTCTACAGTAGATGCGATCAAGTGTAGATACAAACTGTTCCAGCAGCACTGTCAGACAGTCACTTCTGACTGCATTAACCACTTTTGTGATGTTGACAGGGGACTCTTTGAGCTTGAGGATTTAGGGCTGCATGAACTATGCAGGTAAGGATGTTATTTTGGCCACAACAGACATAAAGCCTAACTTTACCAGATTCAAACCTCTGACTCCTGCATAAGAGGCCAGCCTTCTTAACTGTTTGGCCAAAGGTTTTTACAGAAGCACACCGGTTGTAAACATGTTCCTCTCACATGCTGAACTCATACTTAACTCCCCATATATGTATCATGTAACATGTAACACAGTGTCTCAACTGTATCAAAAACCTTCTGAGTATGGGTTCAAGGGCCCCATTGTGGGGACAACAAGAACAGAAACGCTACATCCCCAACAAGCACGTCATTAGAGTTGACTAACTGGGGACTTCCTTCAAAGTTGGAGCACATCTGCCAGAAACTAACAGTTGCACATGAATAAACCAGTAAAACGGATGTACATGCAAAACTCTGCCCCTGGCACAAGCCAAAATCCAAATGGACAAACAACCAGGCTTTCTGCCAGAGCTTACAGCCTGTGAACACAGAAGAATACTACATGTGTCTCAACTTTATCAAAAACCAAATGAAACTATTACAGTATCACAAGCACTTACTGTGTTGCGAGCAAAGACAGATTCATGCTCTCCCTCCCAGTTATTGTCTCCTGGTACATCCTGGTATGTGATGAAATCTACAACTCCCGGTACAGTAACTGCTTCAGAGGGATCAATGTGTAGAATGTTGGCATGGGCTGTAGGGCTCATCACGAATCCAGCAAACAGCTCTCCTGAGGAATGGTGTTTGAGATGGTAAGGATTAGTGGTGTGGCCATTTGTTCGGGGATTTGTGAATATTAGTTCAGGTCTGAATTTCTTGTAGAATTATTCGCCCCGGACTCTCATGTCATACAATAAAGCTTTCCTGAAATTAGTATTTCTTGTCAATGTAGCCTGCTCAAAGTGCATTGGTAACACAGCTGTCAGTGATTTTATCCTTCAACAAAGTCTCTCATTCTAGCTGACTATCTTAACTAGGGTTTATTTTTGGGGTAGGGCTGGGTTTATTTCTTGGGGTAGGGCTTATTTTCAGGGTAGGGCTGGGCTTTTTTGAGTAGGGCTTATTTTTTTGGGGTAGGGTTTATTTTCGGGGTAGGACTGGGCTTTTTTGGGGTAGGGCTTTTTTCGGGGTAGGAATGGGCTTTTTGTGGGGGTAGGGCTTATTTGTGGGGTAGGGCTTATATTAAAAGCATCCTGAAAATTGTGAATTATGCTAAGGCTTTTTTTGGGGGTAGGTCTAATTTTAAGGGAAACCTGTTGTGTCAATGTCTTTTCCAAAAATCTCTTGCTTAGCTGGGATCTGTTCTAGCTCCATTTCAATGACTCTAATTCAAAATGTATTTTCTTCTAAATTGAATATAAGAGATAAGAGAAAGATGTTCCAAAAATTACCTATCATCTACATCAGTTATCTTTCTAGAACAGCCTTCTGTAACAGGGATAAATTACCTCTCTGATAATTACTCTCTGTAACAGAAATATCATCAGTTACCTCTCTGACAATTACTCTATGTAACATAGATATCATAAATTATATCTCTGACACTTACCCTCTGTAACAGAGATATAAGTTACCTCTCTGATACTTTCCCTCTGTAACAGGGATATAAGTTACTTCTCTGACACTTACCCTCTGTAACAGGGATATCATAAGTTACCTCTCTGACACTTACCCTCTGTAATGGGTTATCATAAATTACCACTCTGACACTTAACCTCTATAACAAGGATATCATCACTTACCTCTCTGACACTTACCTTCTGTTAACATGGATATCATCAGTTACCTCTCTGATACTTACCTTCTGTAACAGAGATATCATCAGTTACCCCTCTGATACTTACCTTCTGTAACAGGGATATCAAAATTTACCACTCTGACACTTGCCCTCTGTAACAGGTATATCATAAGTTACCACTCTGACACTTACCCTCTGTAACAGGTATATAATGTTACCTGACACTTAGTTTCTGTAACATGGATATCAAAAGTTACCTCTCTGACACTTACTCTCTGTAACATGGATATGATCAGTTACCTCTCTGACACTTACCCTCTGTAACAGGAATATCATAAGTTACCTCTCTGATACTTACCCTCTGTAACAGGGATATCAAAATTTACCTCTCTGACACTTACCTTCTGTAACAGGAATATCATAACATGGATATCATCAGTTACCTCTCTGACACTTACCCTCTGTAACAGGGATATCATCGACATAAGTCGCCTCTCCTGTGGTTTGTTTGAAGGCAGACTTGTGAACTATGGGGCGTCCTACTGGGCTGTGTGATGCCTGGCTGGCTGTGGGCGGGTGGTACACCTGACTTCCACAGCTGAGACCAAGAGGTATGTCTGACACTGCATCTGGATTTGCCAGCTGGGAAATCTGCCAGGAGAAACTTTTGTATTAGAAGTGGGATTTCTGCGACCACAGAAGAAAAGATTGTATTTCATGGAAACAATATAATTAAATACAGAGGTTCTAGAGAAACTGCAGGTACCTGTATTAGACACTTTGTGGTGAGCACCGGCACCTGTATTAGACACTTTGTGGTGAGCACTGGCAACTGTATTAGACACTTTGTAAAGAGCACTGGCAACTGTATTAGACACTTTGTGGTGAGTACCGGCACCTGTATTAGACACTTTGTGGTGAGCACCGGCACCTGTATTAGACACTTTTTGGTGAGCACCGGCACCTGTATTAGACACTTTGTGGTGAGTACTGGCACCTGTTTCAGACACTTTGTCGTGAGTACCGGCACCTGTTTCAGACACTTTGTGGTGAGTACCGGCACCTGTTTCAGACACTTTGTGGTGAGTACCGGCACCTGTATTAGACACTTTGTGGTGAGTACTGGCACCTGTATTAGACACTTTGTGGTGACCCCTGGCACCTGTATTAGACACTTTGTGGTGAGTACCGGCACATTTATTAGACACTTTGTGGTGAGTACTGGCACCTGTATTAGACACTTTGTGGTGAGTACTGGCACCTGTATTAGACACTTTGTGGTGAGTACTGGCACCTGTATTAGACACTTTGTGGTGAGTACTGGCACCTGTATTAGACACTTTGGGGTGAGTACTGGCACCTGTATTAGACACTTTGTGGTGAGCACCGGCACCTGTATTAGACACTTTGTGGTGAGTACTGGCACCTGTATTAGACACTTTGTGGTGAGTACTGGCACCTGTATTTGACACTTTGTGGTGAGTACTGGCACCTGTATTAGACACTTTGGGGTGAGTACTGGCACCTGTATTAGACACTTTGTGGTGAGCACCGGCACCTGTATTAGACACTTTGTGGTGAGTACTGGCACCTGTATTAGACACTTTGTGGTGAGTACTGGCACCTGTATTAGACACTTTGTGGTGAGTACTGGCACCTGTATTAGACACTTTGTGGTAAGTACTGGCACCTGTTTCAGACACTTTGTGGTGAGTACCGGCACATGTATTAGACACTTTGTGGTGAGTACTGGCACCTGTTTCAGACACTTTGTGGTGAGTACCGGCACATGTATTAGACACTTTGTGGTGAGCCCTGGCACCTGTATTAGACACTTTGTGGTGAGTACTGGCACCTGTATTAGAAACTCTGTGGTGAGTATCGGTACCTGTATTAGAAACTTTGTGGTGAGTACTGTCACCTGTTTTAGAAACTTTGTGGTGAGTACCGGCACCTGTATTAGACACTTTGTGGTGAGTACTGACACCTGTATTAGACACTTTGTGGTGAGTACTGACACCTGTATTAGAAACTTTGTGGTGAGTACTGGCACCTGTATTAGAGACTTTGTGGTGAGTACCGGCACCTGTTTCAGAAACTTTGTGGTGAGTACCGGCACCTGTTTCAAAAACTTTGTGGTAAGTACCGGCACCTGTTTCAGACACTTTGTGGTGAGTACCGGCACTGTATTAGAAACTTTGTGGTGAGTACCGGCACTGTATTAGAAACTTTGTGGTGAGTACCGGCACCTGTTTTAGACACTTTGTGGTGAGTACCGGCACCTGTATTAGACACTTTGTGGTGAGTACCGGCACGTGTATTAGACACTTTGTGGTGAGTCCTGGCACCTGTATTAGACACTTTGTGGTGAGTACCGGCACCTGTTTCAGACACTTTGTGGTGAGTACCGGCACCTGTATTAGAAACTTTGTGTGGCGCGGTGATTTCGGTCACAGGCATGAGGCAAAGTTAAGTCTGATGTGAGGTGTATAAGGAGATACTCCGTACCCCACTCGGGCGCCAGTCCTTCACTGTTCTGGTTTTACGGAACCTCATGCAAGACTCCTGTTGCACATCCCCGTCGTGAGCCATCGGATAATGTCTCAAATGAGCATTAACAGAGTTGGCAGGGGATCTCGGAGCTGGCGGCCCCCAGAGGTGTAGTGTCCTTTCTGGCTCTCACCAGCCCGCCCCCAAACGCATGGGTGAAAAGTTTAACAAAACTCAAAATTGCTTGCTAAATGTACCATCAAATGACAACTCTTGGTTAAAATTCGGGAGGGAATTTAAAACTGTGCTGCTGAGACTCAACCCTGACCGAGAGATTTACCCGCAGCCAAGACGAGTAACATCTCTTGTGGGCGACTTCTCGCAGCAAGATCCTACCTACGTACATCCTCTGTCAATCCTCAGTGTCGTCGTCACCGCGCTGAGGTACACCACGGCAGCAACTTTTCATATGCTGGTTTGGAAATAATGTCCGACAAAGTTATACCCCACGGCACACATGCAAGCTCAGAGTCCGACGATCATAATTCGTACCGATTAGGAAAAAGTCTGAATGTCCGTATCCACTGGTCCAACTCGCCCGAGTGTTGGGACCAAACAGGTGAAGCCACGTCTGACGCATTTTGCTTCCCAATTTTGTCGTGCTAAGGGCACAGCTGAAACAACGTTAAAGGTGTCTAACGTAAGATGAAAAAGAATGTACCTATTTGTGTGGCCACAAACGTCCTAGACCTGCAGGCTGCTCCCCGCTGTTCTCCGGAGAGCGCAGCCTTGTAGCGCGGGAAGCTCAATACACGGTTGTGAGGTTAAGCAGTCATGGGCAGGACGTGACGATTCCTTGGGTGAGCCCAGAACCAGAGCATCATGTGTCGGCTCTGCATTTATGGAAGCCTCCTTGGATGGCGGGGAATGCCTATGATCTGCCCCTGCCTTCCCTTGAGGGCTGAAAACTCTACATAGAGCTGCCTTAAGGACGACATGCCGGGAGCCACACCTGTTAAAAGTCAAAGAGGACACCACACAAATGAGGCAACATCTCGACCCACACAAAACAATGGCCACAGTCAACCTAGAAATAGGCTTGACGTCTTCCTCCGAAGTCGGAGTACATCTGCCGGAGAGGCGGGGAACGAGTACTGCAAACAAATAAGCCAGTAAAACGGATGTACACGCAAAACTCAGGTCAAGGTAAAAGCCAAAAGTCCATCTTGGACGAACAACCGCGACTTACCGCCGGAATTCACAGCCGGTGAACAAGAAGAAGAAGAAACTTTGTGGTGAGTACCGGCACCTGTTTCAGACACTTTGTGGTGAGTACGGCACCTGTATTAGAAAATTTGTGGTGAGTACCGGCACCTGTATTAGAAAATTTGTGGTGAGTACCAGCACCTGTATTAGAAAATTTGTGGTGAACACTGGCACTGTATTAGAAACTTTGTGGTGAGTACTGGCACTTGTTTCAGACACTTTGTGGTGAGTGCCGGCACCTGTTTCAGACACTTTGTGGTGAGTAATGGCACCTGTTTCAGACACTTTGTGGTGAGTACCGGCACCTGTTTCAGACACTTTATGGTGAGTACCAGTACCTTTTTTACAGAAAAATAAGCTCTGGTCTTAAGTGTAAATGCTAATCACTGCTGCCTGGTACAGAAAGAGCTTAAGTACAAACATTCTCTCACCTGCTGGACTCTCTGGGAGACAGCGCAGTAGAACCTGTAGAAGAAGCTAAGTGTCAGAGTCCTCCGATAAGCAACCATCCCTCCAGGTGAGCCAGGAGTCAGGGGCAGGTCTGCAGGCAGCATGTCCTGGGAGCAGGCGGTCTCCAGCAAGTCATCATTCCATGGTCTGTGGGGTGGATAGAAATGCTACAGGAAGCTTTTTGTGTCTCCTGAGTAGCTGTAGGTGATGGAAGGAGCATACCGTGGTGAAGTGGTCAAGCCGTCTGCCTTGCGCTCTGAAGGTCATGGGTTGATTTCACGGCAGTGCTATTCAGTTCATGAGTGCAATTTTTATGGAGCTCCCTGGGGATCATCGCGGGAGCTATGGAGGTGCTCTGTGCGACACTCTTGGCAGGCAGCTAGCTGTTCTGCGGCGAGAGACTAAGCCAGATGGGATAAAACCCGGTGCAATGAAGTTGATCCTCTCACCTTTACCATTCTTTATTTTTTAAAAAAATCCCAAGACCTAATATAATAAAGCAAACCAGTACTGCTGAACAAATGAATGAATGAATGAATGAATGAATGAATGAATGAATGAATGAATGAATGAATGAATGAATGAATGAAGCGTCACAAACTGAGTATGCAGACCCATCTTACATTCAACCCTTTACACACTCATTTTTCACACCGCAAGTGTATTGTATATTTCAATCATTTTACGTTCATATTTCAAAATTCATAGTATGAGTGTTTAAAAAAAAAAAAAAGCAAAAATGGCAAACACATACCTTCAAATATACATGGGAAAATACACACACAATGGAGAAACATTGAAGCCAGAAGAAGATGCATTATCTGATCCACCTCTCCCAGCCCCTAACAACCACTGTGACCTCAGGAAAAATCACACAGCAAAATCACAAGCTACGATTTTAGCTCTTCAAATTGCTCAAGTGGGGCCCTGGGGCTGCATTGTTGAGGGTGGGGTTGGGGGGAATAGGCTCCCTCCCCCTCACTGGAGTGCATTTGCCTGAAAGGCGAGGATTCAACAGTCTGCATCATCATCATGTAGCAGGTCCTTTGCAGAACGTCGCTCTCATCACAGTCAGCCTGAAAGAAACAAGGCCTCTCGCCAGTTCTCCCGCCTCATGCACTTTCACACTCAGGGAGTCACTTATATCCTGTGCCCATCTTCATGTCGGTCGGCCCCTGCCCCTCCTTCCTGGTACCATGCCCTCTGCTATAATTTTTTCCAATACATTGTGGCGCTTGATATAACCAAAATATTTCTGCTTTCAAGAAAGGATGCTGTTTATAAGCCAATCTTCCTTGATGATTAGATCTTTTAAGATGTCAATATTTCTCATCTTCTTTGTCCAAGATATTCTGAGAATCTTTCTTTAGCATTTCGGCTCAAAAGCCCCTATTCTCTTTCTTAAGGACTGAGAGATAGACAGTCTGCATACACACACAAAAAATCCTCCAGATCTGTAAAACAGATGTTTGCGCAAAACTCAGGTTCTGAAAAAATGCTAAAGTCCAGTAGTGGTTTAATTTACGGTCAGTGAACATGAAGAAGTAGAAGAAGAAGAAGAAAAAGAAGAAGAAGAAGAAGAAGAAAAAGCAGAAGAAGAAGAAAAAGAAGAAGCAGAAGGAGAAGAAGAAGAAGAAGCTCTGCGAATGGCTAGATCACAAAAGAAAAAGAAAGGCAACAAAGCGGGAGAGTCAACTCTGACAACAGTATCTAGAGAAGACAGAAGGAAGATTTTCAACATCCAGATTATCTTGATGAGGACTCAGAACTTTGCACATCTGGAAAGTCACCACAAAAAACTGAACATTACTACAGACATGCTCTCTACATGCAGCAAGCTTCACTGAAAAGGGTAGTGAGCATACTTTGGATCTTTTCTCCAGGCCATGCTGGCGTAGTGGGTAATGATCAGGCAGACAGTTTGGTTGGATCTGAAACCACTGGGTGGTGAATTGATACATGACAAGGCAGATGTGGTCATAGCCCTTTTGGAACAAGCAACGGAATCAGTAGAGAAACAAGATTATTATGGCCTGGATAGAATGAAGCACCTGGGTGTAACCAGAGGGTCTGGCCGGCTCACTACACTCTGAGGAAAGGCAAGACGGACATATAACCAGATTGTAACCGGTACCATCAGTACTGAAACTCTGCGCTGGCTGCTGAAGATGAGGACATAGCACACATGGGAATGCCCTGAGTGCTGTGATGTCAATTCTTGACTCAGCTCAACTCTCTACATGCAGTAGAGAGATCCCAGATTTGGCTGTTTGGTATTCTCATTTGAAAACTACATTACCTTCCAGTGAGAGCCTTCATGGTGTTGGTTGCCAGCACAGTTGTAACGGACATGCCCCCAAATGCCAAACTAATGTCTTCAACATGACTCCCTGTGTCCCCCAGATCCACTCGCATGCCAGCATTCACTATAGCAATATCATCCTCTTTACGGTTGGCTTGTTTGTAGCCAAAGAAGTATTCATGCTAGACAATAGAAATCAAATTGAACGTAAACTGACATTTATTGAAAGGAGAAAGGGAAGTGTTAATATTTTTCTTCAAAATGGCAAACAAGTAGTAAATGTACAGAGTAATACAAATCCAGTGAGTAGAATAATTTTTATAGATGTAACTAATGAGGTTTTTTTTTAGTAACAACAATGAGCTTTTTTTAAGTAACAATAATGAGTTTTTTTTAATGTAACAATAATGAGTTTTAGTAACAATAATGAGTGTTGTTTTTTTAGTTACAAAAATGATTTTTTTTTTTAAGCAACAATAAGTTTTTTTCAAGTTCACGAACTGCCAATTGTCTGGCAAAAGAACAACTTAACCCTGTTGTTCTGAGAAGCCACAAACTCCACCCTTCTGGCCGAGTCAAATTCCCCCATAAATGTCACTTTTCTATGGTGGCATATTTCCAAGCACAGTGTTTAGAAGCTCAAGAAATGAATATATTTGCTAAAAATAGTTTTTGGGGTGGGTGTTCTTGTAAATTAAATGGGTTATTTTATAAGCCATGTTGGTGTCAAATGTCCCCATTGCCTCAGTGATCGAGGTCACAGGCTCCCGGGATGAGCCGCCCAATACATATTTTTAACTAGACAGTGTGGAAATTTATTCTATTTAATGCTTCACTTTGTTCATGTTTGCTGATTACTTCTTTTATATATATGGTTAGACACCTAATTTCTTTTAGTGTTTGTGAATCAGATAAGTTAAATTTATAAAACTGCTTACTGGCCCCAGTAGTTGTGATTATACAAGTCCAAATCAAGTAAGGTACAACTCATTACTGCTTTCAAACAAAGCTGTTGTGATTGTATAGGAGTCAGTGTTTAGCTGGGTAAGTAGGACGGTGGCTTGTGTAGGTAGATGCACTTCTTAGGCAGGTAGCTATTGGCTGAGTTTGGTTGAGGGGTAAATTAGTAGGTGGTTGGTGGGTAAATTGGTAGGGTTTAAGTATGGATGGTGGGTAGATGGGCATACAAAGGGCAATAAATTGGTGTGCATGTTGATGGAAAGATATTTAGATATGTTTAACAGTCAGGAGCACCAGTAGGTGAGTTGTTGGGTGTTTTATAGATAAGCAGGAAGGCAGGCAGATAGTAGGTAGTGTTGCCTAATACCACAGTAACAGAGGCTCATCATCATCATCAAGTGCCTTGCTGACTGGTGTGGGCAATCATGCCTCTCTCTCCAATATGAAGTCTTCAACAGCAAGTATCAGTTTATGTGCTGACACCCCTCCATGACATGACAATAGGTTGGCAAGAATCTTCTATTGTTGTTGTCTTCCTCTGTCTCTCTTTCCACAGATCTTTCCATTGCTCACAACATGTTAGAGGCACACACAGTCAGAAAAATATTTGATTCTGAAAAGGAACTGGTAAAGAGACAACCCTGACTGGTGAAACATAACAAACACGAGATATAACAGAGAAGAATACTCACTGTTTTAGTGAAGGGAATGGTGACACTAACCAAAGTGTCCCCACAGTTAAGGCAAGTTTGTCTGTAACCAGTAAAGAAATGCTCATCTATCACCACCTCTCGGATGTTACCATCTGTAGATATCCACAAATGTGTATCATCATCACTGTCATCCTCAACACCAGCAAACATCCTCAACACCAGCAAACATCCTCAACACCAGCAAACATCCTCAACAACACAAGCAAACATCCTCAACAACACCAGCAAACATCCTCAACACCAGCAAACATCCTCAACAACACAAGCAAACATCCTCAACACCAGCAAACATCCTCAACACCAGCAAACATCCTCAACACCAGCAAACATCCTCAACACCAGCAAACATCCTCAACACCAGCAAACATCCTCAACACCAGCAAACATCCTCAACACCAGCAAACATCCTCAACACCAGCAAACATCCTCAACAACACAAGCAAACATCCTCAACACCAGCAAACATCCTCAACACCAGCAAACATCCTCAACACCAGCAAACATCCTCAACACCAGCAAACATCCTCAACACCAGCAAACATCCTCAACACCAGCAAACATCCTCAACACCAGCAAACATCCTCAACAACACAAGCAAACATCCTCAACACCAGCAAACATCCTCAACACCAGCAAACATCCTCAACACTAGCAAACACCGTCAACACCAGCAAACATCCTCAACAACACAAGCAAACACCGTCAACACCAGCAAACATCCTCAACACCAGCAAACATCCTCAACACCAGCAAACATCCTCAACACCAGCAAACATCCTCAACAACACAAGCAAACATCCTCAACACCAGCAAACATCCTCAACACCAGCAAACATCCTCAACACCAGCAAACACCCTCAACACCAGCAAACACTGTCAACATCCTCACTGTCATAAATGGCATCCAGTAAAGAACATGCAGCATTCTACTGTAATCTTCCTTTCTAATGTTTCTGTAGTCAGTGTTTCTGTAGTCAGTGTTTCTGTAGTCAGTGTTTCTGTAGTCAATGTTTCTGTAGTCAGTGTTTCTGTAGTCAGTATTTCTGTAGTCAGTGTTTCTGTAGTCAGTGTTTCTATTGTGTGTGAAATCACTGGGGACTGTTAGGAGTTAATGAAGCCAGGACTTTATGTTAACAGTTTGGGAATATAAACATTTGGGGATCACTCGAAGAGTAAAAACATTTGGGCCATGTGCAGCGGGTGAAACAGAGGGTACTCGATATGCATGTTTCTTTAATATGTTTCTATAGTCTGCATTTCTGTAGTCAAGGTCTATGGTCAGTGTTTCTATAATATGTTTTTATAGTCTGCATTTCTGTAGTCAAGGTCTATAGTCAGTGTTTCTATAAAATGTTTATATAGTCTGCATTTCTGTAGTCAAGGTCTATAGTCAGTGTTTCTGTAGTCAAGGTCTAAAGTCAGTGTTTCTGTAGTCAAGGTCTAAAGTCAGTGTTTTTATACTATGTTTTTATAGTCTGCATTTCTGTAGTCAATGTCTATACTCAGTGTTTCTATACTATGTTTTTATAGTCTGCATTTCTGTAGTCAAGGTCTATAGTCAGTGTTTCTATAATATGTTTATATAGTCTGCATTTCTGTAGTCAAGGTCTATAGTCAGTGTATCTATACTATGTTTTTATAGTCTGCATTTCTGTAGTCAAGGTCTATAGTCAGTGTTTCTATAATATGTTTCTATAGTCTGCATTTCTGTAGTCAAGGTCTATAGTCAGTGTTTCTATAATGTTTTTCTGAAGTCAGTGTTTCTATAATCAGATTTTCTAAATGCAGTGTTGCTACAGTCAGGGTTTGTCACAGTATTCTGATTTCTGTAGGGCATCATCCTGCAATTTTTAACTGTATAAACAGGAAAGATGTAACTAAGGTTACTATTGGAGAAACTACAGATAATAAAACTAGCATTCTTCTTATTTGCGTTAACTGTCTGCAAACTCTGGCAGAAACTCTGCCTTTTAAAAAATTTAATTAATGTCATTTTTGTGTGTTTTCTCTTCTTTTCCTTCTAGTGTTTTTCCTTCTTGTGCTTCTTCATGCCCATGTCTTTGTGTTTTCAGTATTCATATGATGTATATTGCTTTATGGACATAATATAACATGCTTCATAAATAAAACAAAAATTAAAAAATACAAAAGCTACATGAAAAAGCAGTGTATGAAAGGGCCAAATGCAACAGACACAAGTATGTACCCAATTTGTGACACTTTAAACATAAAGTTTGCTCATTCATTTGTCAATGTACACTGAATGAGAGTAGAACTTCCAAACAGGCAACTGGTATACATAAACATACACTGAGTTTAATGTTAAAAGATCTAGCCAGATATCTTTGGTAACTCAGACCTAATGGAACAGATATAATAACACAAGGCTTGCTGTTTGGGGTGAACAGACAATAGTTCATTACTCACTCTGCACTGTTTGGGATATAGGGGTTTAAGGATTTTTTCTGGGGGTACTAGACTACATCAAGAGACAAAGATCAAATGGTTCAGGCATGTGTCGAGACTAAAACCAGTTAGTGCTTCACAGAGAGTCCTGTCATTTAGATATAATGGTATCAGAGCTGGAGTAGACCATGCAAGCAATGGATAGATGGAATATCTAAAGCTGTAAAAACCAGTATCTATGCAGCACACATCAAGGCTCCACTTGATGCCTCTTCGAAAGCTGATGAAGAAAAATAGAACAAGACTTAAGGAGGAGAAGAAGGAAAAGAAGACATTTTTTTACTGACCTGTGCTGGGCTTAAAATTAATAACAGGAAAGGTACAACACTTACAATCATGTACCAGGCCATCATTTACTGTTTGCTGTACACCCCTATTCCCATGTCCCCTGTCTAAATAATAACTGCTTTGAATTGTGTATATTGCTTTCTTGTTTCTGTGTACCTCTGCATGCTTTAGATAGCCACAGAGGTTCCCAAAGGTCTGAGACCTCCATAAGTGACAGCCACTCATGCCACAGTCATCCATCTTGAAGTTTCTTGCCACTGACAGTCAGAGACAATAGCCACCTTTGTCAATGAAGTACAGGCAAAGGCATTTCAGCCTCTGTCTCTATTCTTATATACTGGAAGCTACAACTTGATATGACTACAACCACCCAAAACTGAAACTATATATGAATACATTTAAAAAAACCACACACATGCAGGCTTTAAATAATAACGTTACCTGGGTCTGCCACATGTAATACAGCCTTACAAGCTAGAAGGAGAGGGTTCAGATCTGATATAGGACTTGCAGTCATTATATTTCCTGCAAGACACTGAAAGAAAAATAGGTATACAAAAATTAATTGTTGCTACCTTAGCAAAGGGACATAAACGTATAGATGTAAGTCATGGCTGGAAAAGAGAAAATGGTTTAACGGGTATTTAACGGCATTAGGTTTTATCCCATATGGCCCAGTCTTTCTCTGCAGAATGCCTGTTGCCCCCACAAGTGCATCAGACAAAGCAAGAACCTCTAAAGTTCCAGTGATAACCCCCAGGGATCTCTAAAACCCTTGCATTCACAAACTGAACGACAGAATCTGAAATCATGTCACTATGGAAAAAACCCAGAAAACACAGCAAATGAAAGGATTAACCATTCTCCAGGCTTGAGGAGAAGGGGGTGGTGCAGCTGGTACATGGTTCTGGGGCCTAAGTGGCTCATGAAGGGAAACTGTTATTACTGTCCTTTTTAGGGGACGATGTAGACAAGCGGGTCATGAGCATGAGAATTGAGGGCTGCCTGGTTAGCGTTGTCGCCACAGACTGTGCAGGTTAGGATGAGATTCTGCCCCCTACAGAAAAACTCCATCACCTTACTGGGTTTCAAACTCAGGTCTCCTGCATGAAAGCCCAATGTTGTAACCACTTGGCCAGCCACTTCTCATGAAGAGAACATTTTTACAAAACCCCCCCAAAAATAACAAAAAAATTTGGATAAATACTTCATATTTTGTAGTTTGAGTGTATAGCAAAACCAACTTGTCTGACCGGGGAAGGGTGGGGGCACACTGACAAAAATTGGGGGGGGGGGGGGGGGGGGGGGGGGGGGGGTATGTTTTAATTGTAAGCAGGTACTGAGTTGAAGGAGATTCATTTCTGCATAACCCGTGGTTAAACTGTTTGTCTTATGGTTAGTTTTTAAGACATGAAATTGTAAGGTTAACGGAGGTCAGGTGTTTTCTCAGTGTCCATGTTTGTGTCTGTGTGTCTGAGGGGAGGGGGGGGAGGGGTGGTGGCATATTAGCTGTGTTCCAGCACTTAATAATCCTCTTGGCAGCTCTGCCCCTCAATTTAAAAAAAAACTACAACCTGGAAGTCTCAGAAAACACAGTTACTTACAGCAACACTGCGGATCTGATGCCCGGCAAACCACTTCAACATCTCTACAACTGCAGCAAACACCCTGGTCTTGTCCTCTATGGAAGATATCAACAGGGAAATATCAATCTATTTATTCACCTGGGAAGTAGAGGCAGGTGGTATGATGCTGACTACACCACCCCTGGAGTGATGATTGGTACTTAAAATATAGGTCTAGCCCTATGTGCCCAAAACGCCTGAAGGTATGGAAACCTTTTCTTTTGTTTTTTAACTTATGTTTATTCAAATGCAATTTACTCATGATATCAGTTTTTTTACTTGCTTTACATGTTAAACATTTTTTTTATTTAGTCAGAATTCACACTGGTCACAGTAATTTATATTTCTCCCCCACCCCCTCCCCCTCCCCCTCCCTTTAAGGTGTGGCATGTCACAGGGCCTGCCCTATCCTGTGGAGATGTCATGTTTTCCTTATTTTCAAAGGTTTAACCATTCTCTTTTTTTTCTCGTGTTGTCACCGCTCACTTGCATGATTATCTGCATGCTGTGCTACTTGCGTGACGGCTTGTGAGTTTCAAAACTGGGATGTTTTTGTATTTCTACGTCCCTTGTCAGCAGCTTCTTTTTCTGGGGGTAAGACACCACCAAGGAAAGTAGAAAAACAAAAACATCCTAGCTTCTATACTCACAAACAGTCGCCCCTTTAGCGCCGACCCAGCAGTACTTCTTACTTGTACACAAGTGCTTGCAGTGCCTCAAAGAACTCACAACAAAATCTCCCACAAATTTTATATCTGCTGAACAGTTGGGCCAGCTGGTAGTAATAGCTGCCACACAGGACTGCAGACCACACCGGCCGTCTGCAACCATTACCAGTAAAAGGACCCTTTTCCACGCCTTTAGGCATATAGGGCATATAGGGCTAGACCTATATTTTTATAGACCAATCAGCACAAGATGGGTGATGTGGTCAACATCACACCGGCCGCCTCTACTTCCCTGGACTGCACCCGGTACCCACTCAAGGCTGGGCAGACCTGAGAGCCATTACCAGTGCCCTAATTATAACATCTCTAGAGGCTGAACAGAATATCTGGGATATGCTTTGTTGGTCTCCCACCCAAATTTAGAAAAAAAAAAGTTTTATTTTTAATTTTTTTTTACAAATCTTAGGGTGGTACATCTTTTGGTAGCAAGCATCTCAGAGGGGACAAACTATCAACTAACCAGTTGTCCTCAAACAGAAGGACTCAAGTCACAACAAACAGGCATACCTGGCAAGTCATGGATGGCTGTTTTCAAGACATCATTAACCTTGGTCAGTGACAGTGCCGAACCAATCTGTATGCCTCGTGGTGCCTGGTGGACCTAGCAAATAGTATCTCATCTTTAGTTATTTATAGTCATGGACAATCAATCTGGCACTAGAACAGAAAATTAACTACAGGTGAAATGGGCTGTCTCCGCAGGGTCACTAACAACACAAGAAGAGACAGGGTTACAAATAGCAGCATTAGAGAGACGGAATAAGCCCATGTCTGGATTACACTAACAGACAACGAATAAAATGGTTCAGCCATCTAGTGAGAATGCAGCCAGACCAAACTGCATATGAGACTTTATATAGCAGAACATCTGGGAGGAAGGCAAGAGGAAGACTAAGAAAAATATGGATAAATGCAATAGCGGAAACCTGCAAAAAGATGAAAAAAATCTATCAACCAAGACACTCAAGAAGCGCAAGACAAATACAGAAAACCAATACACTGGGCTAGAACCTGTATCAGTGACATGACTAAAGAAGAAGATATTCATGGTAGTGATAAAACTGGTGTTTCTCAGTCAGGTTAGAAAACTAATGGACAGGAGAACTTAATAACAACTGGCGAGATTGAGAGAAAAGAGCAGGGGGAAAGCAAAGAGATAAATAGCTGGCTGGTTAAGCCACAGGAATGGGGTGAGACACTGGCCTGATTTGTGTTTCTGGTGATGATGTGAGATGGCAAAACATGACAGATCAAGCTTCTTGGCATAGCATATGATGATGATAACGATATCAGTATACCGAGTCCCTCAGCTAAAGCGGAACCAATTGTCTACCCACACTGCCCATGAATATTCAGTGCCAAGATTGCCTTATCAGTCTCCCATGTCCCTGTGTAGATTCCGGGGATCTGTTGTAAAATAAAAAAGGAATAGACCCACTGCCTCCTTAACATGTATGTTGTAAGATTAAACTAACTAGAGATTTCCTGAGTTCAGAGTGCAGCTGGCTGAAAAGCAAGTAACCAACAGTCTGCACACAAATCAGCCAGATCTGTCAAATGGATGTGCACAAACTCAAGTTCTGGAACAAGACCAAAGTCCAGAAGTGGACGAATAACCAAAACTTTCCCAGAGTTTACAGCTGGTGAACACAAAGGAAAAGTCTCCTAGGCACCATGTATCTCATTCTACTAATTGGCTGATATATAATATTATGTTATGTTATCACAGTCAACGTCACTGCACATTGGACATACCCATGTGTACTCTGTCCGCCAATGCAGCAACCACTCCAAGGTATTTCTACTGACTGTTCACATGAGAAGCTGGTTATAATGTCTGCTATCTCGGCCTCGGGGGCGGCATAGACGTGCTTCACTATGCTTTACTCCTATGTCCCGCAATCGTGTTAGTGTCAGAGATTCATCTTTATTCACTAGCCCAGTCCGTACAGCGTTGACGATATCCGCTCTGTCCATGCTTCTTCCCACATGCATTAGTGCTTTGCTTGCCAGTTTATCTGCTCGCTCATTACCCTTTATGCCAGCATGACCAGGTGTGTAGATCCAAGTGAGGGAGGTAAAGTGCGATTTTAGAATGCTTTTTACATATACAGAATGCATACCGCCTGTTTCTGTCTTCAGAAGCATGTCCGTGGAGTCTGATGCAATTACTGCATGTGCGGCTGTTTGTTCCCATGCTAGCGATGACAGTCAGTGGCACTACTGTGGGGGCCTAGTGAAGAATGGTCAAGTGTCTCCAAACAATGAGGTCAGCTGTGAACTTTTACAAATACCCAAGGAAGTTGATGGAACATTAATTAGTTAGTTGTTCCAACATCACTACAGAGGGTCGCCACTTAACTACTTGGGTCCTGCGCCAGTGGAAATCATTAAAATGTCCTCCACTGTCCCATTGGAAAATTGGTGAAAATGTACCAGGCAGCTGTCAGATGTTCCAACACTTATAGTCCCACATGAGGTTAAACTCAATGAGATCTTCTTCTTCCTCATCTTCTTCTTCTTCTTCTTTTTTTCCCACCATATACCTCAGCAAGGTGTTGGGGAGAGATGTGCCCTTTTTCCAATGCCTTCTACAAGTTGGTGTTCATTTCTGTTAGTTTGCGCCTTATGATGTTGCTCCATGTCTTGCATGGTCTTCCCCTTGCTCTGTGTTCATTATATTTGTTCAACGTGGCTCTCTGTAACAGTTGATACCAGGGCATTCT